TAACATGTGATGACCACCCTATGACATGTGATGACCACCCTACGACATGTGATGACCACCCTATGACACATGATGACCACCTTATGACATGTGATGGCTGCCCTACGACATGTGATGACCAGCCTATGACATGTGATGGCCACACTTCGACAAGTGATGGCCGCCCTTTGACATGTGATGACCACCAATTGACATCTGATTACTACCTTCCATCATGTTATTTTTTATTTTCTCACACAGTATGTTGGTGACATTTTCACATGCATTGGATGATTACAAACATGGAGTTGAGGTGTTTGCAACAAACGATGAAAGCACATTGGGATTCGTCCTGGAATTATATTCACGCTATCAAGAGTCTGAAAAGGTTTGTACCATCCATACATTTGAATGTATGAATTCGTTTTTCAAGTACATGTGTGTGAGAGTGCTTTACAAAACTGATTTGTTTTCTGTTGGAAGGAAATGCTTTTCAGAAGGACATGTAAGATGATTGATTTGGAAACTGCCACCAAGAACTTGGAGAAAGCTAAACCTCAGAAACGAGATGCTGTAAGTATTTCTGTTGTGCTTTTATAGAAATTTGTTTTGCAGATTTAGATCATTTAATTGTTACAATATAGTAGATACAAAAGTATGTGCAATAGTGTGTGCATACAGCAATAAGTGTCGTCATAACAACTGATTTCAGTTTCAAATAATTGATGTTTAATTATAGGCTGATGATGCTAAGAAAGATGCAGAGGTAGTATTTGAAAGGATATCAGAGGTTGCTAAAAAAGAGGTAAATTCCATTATCATTAGAAAAACTAGAATCCAAAGTCTTTGCAGTCAAGGAGGCCATTAGCTTTGTTTTTTGATATTATTTGAAATCAAGAACTATTATTTTGGGTTCCATTCATCTGCTTCTGTTGATTCATCTTTCCAGAGCCATTTCTTAGACATGCTTTGATCAATCACATTCAGACTTAACATACAGGTCATGTATGATGACTTACATATGCACAGCAATTTTCATTACTGTTTGATAATAAGTATGGCTGACTAGCAGCCATTTTGGTTCCAAAAATTGATAAGTTCTGATACTTACACATGTCCAGGACTGCTCCTCAATAATGAACAGGGCAAGTTAATTCAAACTTCTTATCATGATCTTGCATATTGATTTACAGGTGTACAGGTCACAAAAATGGCCAACTGGCTGCTATTTTATTTGTTCATGCTGATTCCTCACTATTATATTGCCTG